CTCTAACTTGCAAAAACCTAACAACCTAGTGCACTGTTCTCCTTCTTCTCCATTTTGTTCTTCTGGCAGCTGCTGGAAGAACTCTACTCTTCACTTTCCCTTTCCTAGCCAAATCTCTTACAAAACTTCTCCTTCCTTACCCTAACACTTCCTTTTCCCTCAAAGCAAGCCTAAATTTTCTCTTAGTGCTAAACTCATGTTGATTTTGCTCTCATGCCACATGTCACTCACACTGAGCTTGAGAGTTTATCTGTAAGCATAAAGAAATTACATGTAAGCTGCCATTATTTTGGTTGGTGAAGATAACCAAAATACTTCCTAAGGCTCTACTGCCCTTTCGAGGTATTTTGGGGCATGATTTTCGAACTCAGGCAAAGGGGACAATTTTATCAGTCTGCCCTTTTACAGCAGCCTAGCCCATTTGCAGCTGCTGGAGGAAAAAGTCCCCTACATAAATTGGCGACTCTGCTGGGGATTAGGCCATTATCTTCATCGATGCCTCCAAAGAATAAGACTAGAAGCGACAACATGACTTCCCAAGACAAGCTGGACCACGGTGACTAGAAGTCAAGGCAAAATGTCTCACATAGAAAAGAAAAACATGCAAGTGAGGGAGCTTTCACCCTCATAGACCTTGTTGCAGCCATCCATGCCATGGGGAAACCTAGAGAGAGATGGTGGACACAATTAAAGAGCTAAAAGTTCAGTCTCCAAGCCAAGCAAAGAAAACGAAAGACCACTCCAAGAGGAATCTACTGCTGCCGGAAGGGGGTCTGAACAAAAGGGGCCATCTTTTGTCGCCCATGAAGATGTCATCGCCATGCTGAAAAATAAACTAAGCCAAAATCAGGAAGATTGGAAGTATGTCCCTCAGCCGCCGTATCCATCATATCTATTCCAGCAGCCATATCCTAATGGCTATGAGACACCAAGCTTTGTCCTTTTCGACAGAAGGAAAGGGAGTCCGAAGGAGCACATCAACCATTTCATTGATGCCTTGGGACCACATGTTGGTGATTATAATCTCCGGCTTCGAAAATTTTCGAAAAGCCTTACCGATCATGCTTGTACATGGTACATGAGGTTGGCACCACGCTCTGTTTGTTCTCGGTAAGATTTTCCAATACTCAACAACATTCGCCAAAAACAGGGGGAAGATCCTGTGGACTTCGTGAGTAGGTTCCGGGACCTATCTCTGGATTGCTATGATGAGAAGGATGAAGAAGCGCTCGTCAAAATTTGCATTAGCAACATCGTGGCAGATTACAGAGTTTATTCAGAAAATATTGGCATTACCCAATTTTCTCGGCTGCTGGAAGCAGTGAGGAAAACAAGCATTTTAATTAAACTAAATGGGCAGGAAGCTTGGAAGGGTGAAAAGGAAAAACGCCACTCAGGGGCTTCATTTGATCAGCAAGATTATCGAGAGACTGCTGCCGTAACCTCTCATAAGAGCCGCAAATCACTCTTTGATTAGTGGAGTCATGAGTCGCATGCAAGTAGATCAGCAGCTGTGGCTCTGTTAAATATTTCTACAGAGCATGGCAACCTAGTACAACACATGCCAAATACATGCCAACATAAGCCACAAGCTTTCATGCTATTGCAAGTCATGCACGCTCCTTGGCCCTTTCATACTTGGGGGCTTAATTTGATAGGAGTATTTATCAATGCAAAATGGCTCAAAGCCTTACTACTGAGTTGCTTTTGCACCTATCCTTTTGTTTTTGACTTTTCAAATTTATTTTAAAGATGAACTCCTTTTGTGTTTTCACCATATGCTTTCACAACTTTGGTAGAATGCACCACCATTATTGCATGCCAAGGTATAAAATGATATTTGCAATGAGAATGGAGTATTTTGGAAAAAGAAAAAAAAAACCTCTAGAATTCTTTCCTTACTTTTATCTTCTTCTGTTTTGCAAAACATGTTCTTTGAAAAGAAAAAGAAAATAGACAAGCAAACTTCCCTTTAAAAAGCTAAGCCTCTCAGCAGTAACCATGCCAAGCAAAGTCACTTGGATGGGGTCCCGAACCATCAACAAGCATCATGCTTAAGCAAAAAATAGCATAAGGCACGAGAAACCGATCTATTCCAAAGAAGCATGCAATCTTGAGGTGCTGGAACAACATCTGGGAGTTTTATAAAACCTTGGTAAGAATCATGCACATGCTAGTATGGCCCTTTTTAAGGAAGGCAAGAAGCTGCTTTTCAAACCCAGAGGCTAGATAAACCATGCAAAAGAAACTTTAGAAATTCCGCTCCTGTCGAAATTTTGGCAGCATATATCTTGTTTTTAATGATATCCAACCTGTCAGAAAATCTCAAATAGTTCACAAAGACGAATTTTGCCAACCAAGCTATATATATATGAGACATGCGAATTACAACATGCCTTCAGCATTCAAAAAATTAATACAAGCTTCAGTGGTTCAATGCCAAATTACAAAGTCATAACGACGTAGTCGTTAGAATGTCAAAAGAAAAAAAAAACTACAGTCAAAGCACGATAAACCTATACATGCTAAAGATCCATGCATCCTATAGTCTCAAAGGAAAAATAACCATGCGATGATTTCATGCTATGAGTAACACCGCCATCAAAGAAGGCTTTGAACGCCATGAGATGTGTTTTTCCCCAGAATCACTTAAAATCACAAGAAATGATTTTCTGGAGAAGCACGTGGGAGGTGCTTCTTCCCAGAAGTGATTCTGGCCTATCCAAACTTACTCCCAAACAAGGCCTTTGTTTTTTCTGTCAAGCACTATCAAAAACATTTTCTATTGTCATAGAGCGTATTTAGCATTTTCCTGAAACAATGCCAAACATGCCCTAAATATTTTTTTAATAATAATTTATCAATGGAGGTGAAGGGTTTAGATTTCGAAGTAGGTACCTCTTCCAACATTGGGAAGAGAAATACTACTAGACCAAGAAGTACTGATATATTTATATTTTGCATATATAATCTATATCTATTTGCATTGTTTTCATGTGAAATTGGTTAGTTTAATGTGTTTAGTGAGAATTTTATAGGCAACCATTCCTAGCAAGGATTTGGAGCTAAAACTATGATTTTGGAAGCTTAAGGAATCAAAATGGGTGGAATTAGCAATTCAACGAAATCTCAAGAACTCGCTCTGTCATTTCATCAAACACCTGGAGTGCATTTATGCAAGTGTCAATTTATACCCACAACTGGTCTCAATGACAAGCCAGAGAGTTTAAGTTAAAAGGGTTTACCATCATGCTTTGGAGCTAAAATAAAGTGGAGCTGTGCAGCTAATGAGCTTTTGAAACCTTTGTGCGTTGGCTGAGTAATTGAGTGGTCAACCACGTGTGCTGATGCTTGTATCCACCCATTTGTGCATAATTTATTGGTTTTGGCAAGATGTGTTTACAAGCCAATTCAACTTGGCAAGAAGACTTCCTAACGATTTTGTCTGTAGCAAAATGTGAAATTAGGAGCATCATGACTTCACAATGGAAGGCATGTGTTTCATTGTGTGAACTTCACTGATTGGGCCAAACAAATCCATGGGCTGAAATTGAATTAATATCATTTAGAGTTGAGGGTGTGTGAATTGGTGGGCTGAACTAGCATGGTCTCTCCTTCTTTGACTTGGAGATTTTATTTCCAAGCACATCCGTACCTTGTCTCCTTTTTAGAATGGGTATTCCATTATTTTCCCAACTATTCTCGAAAAATCTATTTTCCTTATTTTTGGAAGATTCTCTTGGCCTATAAATATAAAACTTTAACCTAAGAGCCGGGGGGATTTTTTTTCTACCATATGGTTTTCACCATATTTCAATACACCCATAAACATATCAGAGAGAAAACCAAGAGTTGCTGTCGTGGTGTTTTTGGAGCTTACAATGGTGTTAATGTGGAGAATCCAGAGATCAAGTCCCATCTGCTAAATATGCTTTATGACAACAATTCTTTTGTTTATCTTTTCTTTTGTTATGAACTAATTTCTCTTGATAGGGCTACGATGTAGCATAGCAATGAATACTTAATTTTTATAGTTATATTAATTTCTGATTATTATTCCATGTTGAGTATTAATTAATATATGCTTAAATATCTGGCTAATGTTTAATTGATGATCCAAACGGAGACCGAGAAGAGATGTTTGTGGTTTGCTTCTTGTAACAAATACCATGTCTTGAATGAGTATCCCAGAGGGACTAACATGACTCATGTAGTTTTCTTGCAAGTTCTCATAGAACTTAATGGGTTCTTAATTTTCTAAATTTGTTGCTTGATAGAGAATGAGTTGTTAATTGAGAATACTTTTAGTTAAGCCTGAGAGGAGATATTGAATGAATTAAAAGAAATCAACTGTCAACATGAGTAGCAATTAGGGTTAATTGACAATAAGAATTAAGTGAAATTGATTATGGTGAAATCAGATACTCTAGTGTCTCATCAACTTAATTTTTCACCATTAATTAAATTGATAATTTTTACATTTGTTTTAATTTAGTTTAATAAATCCTCGGGATTTTGTTTCTCTGGGAAGATTTTAACGAGGCGGTCGTTAACATGCTAGTTTTTACCATGTAATATTCCTTTCGGTTTAATGAAATACCATTTTTCTCCAAAAAAAAAAAAAAAAAATCCTAATTGGTACTTAAAAGGAGATTACAATCTTCGTAGAAACGACATTTCACTTATCTCTATATTACTTATGCGAATTGTGCACTTACAATAATTTCACAACACGCAACTATTCCAATATTTGCCCCAAATGTTTATAATAAAAAATTAGAAATCTTGTTTCATTTCTATGTGGAAGCGACAAACAGAAGTCTAAACAAAATTTTTTTGGGTGAAAATACAAGTCTAAACATTTGAGTTACGTGAGACAAAAGAAATTGTGATCAACACGTACACACGTGAATTAAGAAAACATATATAACGCACAGCGTAATGTTTAATGGTTCGTTGACCAAAAACTGAATGCTTGTATACGTTAGAAAAGAGAGACCAATATTTAATTCGGGTTTACTTGGTGACAACAGAGACTTTGACCAAGAATCGTAGATCACCAGCCAATCATTTGAGAGGCTGGTACAACAAAAATTAGTTAAAGAATGAGTTAGCGTAGTTGCTAAGACACTTTAAAAAAATTAGACGTTGATTTTTCAAAATTTCAAGACTTGTACTTACCCTAATTATTTTAATAGAAGACGCGACGCCTTCAAAGCTTTGAGGCTATTGGTGATTCTAAAGCCCTATCCATAGCATGTGAAAATAACCACCCTTCAGGAATGAGTTTAGCATTCTCTACGAATGAGCTCCATATTTAAACTGCAAATTTTTTCATTTCCAGAATTTCCCAACACTAGAATGAGAATGATGCCAAAGGAGTCCAGCTCGGTGGAAAAAGGACCTTGATTTGTAAACTAGTGGTTTCAAGTTCGAACCCTCATGAGATCATTGTGTGTGTGTGTGTGTGTGTGAGAAATCCTTATTCTCTTTAGTTTAGACTATCGCTAATGAGAATGATAGATCCCATTGATTTGTGAAAAAGAAATCAAACTCATCCAAAAACACAAGTTGAGACCCCTAAATTCCAACTCCATCAAACAGGTCATTGGCCAAACCTGAATCCTTTTGCTTGTAAATGCTTCTAACCTAGTGAGAAATCACATTGAAAATTCTTCAGAGACCAGCTAGACAAGTCAAAAATGCTTCAAATTCATTGCATAGGCCCACAGCTGCCATATGGCTGGCAGCAATTCTCTCTCCAACCTATAAGCCATACACCAAGGCAAATCCTTCATCTTATCCCAGAAGGAACTTAATCCTTCATCTAACCTTCTGACAGCGCCTTCAATGACGAGCAAAGAAACATTCTGAAAGTCTTTCTAAGATAGTGCTTCTTAGAGCTTCCCACCCACACTCCTGGTTACAATTCAATAATTAACATGACAGACAATAAACGTCTCCGAAATTAAAGTCATCATTCGACAGCTCTGTTGCAGAATTTATAACTAAAGGAGATTGTCACCATGCTAGCAGAAAAAAAGAGCAGCAAGAATGTATCAGTAACTATAGTTATCCAAATCAGAACAAATAGTTATCCAATCCACTCCCTCTTTTCAATTGCATCTGCAATTCCAGCCGAATGGGTACAAAATCTATCCATAGGACATATAAACACAGTTAGTCAGCACAATTAACATTGTTCGCATCCCAGAACCATAACTTTCATTAGAGGGTCATAATTAGGAGCACCAGAAAAACACACAATGTTCACTCAGTTAGGTTAGTTACCTCAGCAAATTAAGAGGTCAGGAAGTACTTGGTGAAGCTCTAACGGAGGCTCTTACCGCTGCATAAAAACCAACAGCTAAGGTACAAGATCTATTAGGGTTTAATCATTATGTCTTTTCAATTGCATCTGCAATTCCAGCCGAATGGGTACAAAATCTATCCATAGGACAGATAAACACAGTTAGTCAGCACAGTTAACATTGTTTGCATCACAGAACCATAACTTTCATTAGAGGGTCATAATTAGAAGCACCAGAAAAACACACAATGTTCACTCAGTTAGGTTAGTTACCTCAGCAAATTAAGAGGTCAGGAAGTACTTGGTGAAGCTCTAATGGAGGCTCTCACCGCTGCATAAAAACCAACAGCTAAGGTTGGAATTCATAGATACTGAAACATTGACTAGAAATAAAATATTTATTGATTTCAAGAATTGTTTTCGTTCTTCTGGATACAATACAATGGTTTAGCCTTCGAACAGTTAAGTCAAGTCTCAGGTATTTGGTTCATCTCAAACCTGAAATATTCTTCTTCATCATCCTCAGAGTAAATCCATCATCAACAGGTTCTGGAATTGCAGGAACAATTATTCCTGACAGAAGCCATTACATAATAAACCAGTGAAGCGCAAGCTCCCGATGAAGGTCCAACCTGTTCAGGTTTGATGATGTTTGAAATCAAGAAAACTGCCCATCCATTTTTTAATTTTCATCTAAAGCAGTAATCCAAAAAGTCCTAATTTTTCTCAGCTGCATAACCTAACGGTGCATGCCACAGCCTGTGCCCAGTATTTGAGCCTTGCTTTAACATCCTCAGGATGGTCACCTGGACAAACAAAAAGTTGCCAAGAGGTCAGATGTTTGAAGATTTATATGTATTGAAGTGACATTAAAACAAAAGTAAAGAGATCAATCGGGAACCAAATCTTCACTTGGTTTGCATACACATCTCAAAGTAAGGAAAAAACACAAAAGTTATAGAGTTGCTAGTCACAAAAACGGTACAGGAATTTTTCTGAAACAACTACCAAGTACCCCAAGGCTAACACTTGGAAAACTTGAGGACCCAGTTCATCATTTCAAATTTAATTCCATAGTCAGACAACCAAAATTTACATTTCATCTGCAGTACAAATAAAATCAAAATGAACTGGATGATCATTTCATCTACAAACACTAGCTAGCTAAAAATATCACATTTTGGTTGTAAAAATTAAACCCCTCCTTATCATTTAAAAAGAAAAACACTTTGATCAGATGAATTACAATGTTCAAGCCATAATGTCCACCAACAAAAATGAAAATTCTAAAACTTTCATGGAAACAAATTAAAAAATTGACAAAAACCCAGATAACTCACCAGGACTAGAGATCTTCCAATTGGCAATTGGACTTGAAACCGAAGGGCACGAATCAACTGTGGTCGGAGAATTCTCCGGCAACTTCTGGTTTTCGTCCATGAATTTCTGGCTCATAGAATAACAAAGCTCAAGAGCAGGCAAGGTGTTACAGAGCTCAGGAATCTCTTCGTAGCTGAACCCAAATCCCAGATCCAAACACCCTTTGAGCTCGTCAAGATCCTCATCCGTCAAGCTCTTGGTCCTAGACAAATCATCCTCATCGGCTGACTCTACATACCCTTCAAGCAAAACTTGGTTCTTTTTCTTCTTCTTGCTCTTCAAGCTTTTCAGCTTCGGCCATTCTTCTTCTCCGATTCCTAGCATGATCTCAGAAGAAGAAGAGGTTTGTAGTGATTGATGGGTTTGTTCATCTGGGTTTTTTCGGATTGAAGAAACCCAAGATTCTGTTCCGCAATTGAAGCCCTCCATCTCTCTGAAACTTTCTCGGTTTTTCTCTCTCTCTCTGAAACTTTCTCGCGAGTGCTTGTGAGAGAGGCAGGGGGCTCGGCCTTTTAAAGTTGCACCTAGAGGGAAACAACCAAATAGTTTTCCCTTATTTTTTTAATTTCTCAAATTTCCATATTGATTATTAATTAATTAATATATGGTCATCACGAACATACATACATGCATCATGAACATACATCCATGAAATGATTGCGTTGTGTGACGTGGACAGGACAGCTGTAGTGTGAGGATGAGAAGACAAAAATCAGAAGTGGACACGTGGTGGTCGAATGTACACAAAAAGTAGGATGGGACAACTGAAGAGTGGGGCCCAAATGGACTAGTAGTGTTGTGTGCTTGGGCCCACCATGTTCTTTTTCTTTTTGATACGGGCCACCATGTTGTTAGATGGGATTTGCTTGCATGTGAAAGACAGGCATGTGGGAGAGATGTTTCTTTTTGTAAGCAAAAAGCCAGAAAGAGGTGGGTTTGGTGTGAGTGGATGTACCGGGGGGAGAGGCCATCCACACCTTTGAATCTGTGTTTGGTTGATACTTGCTTGGTAAGGAGACAAAGAAAGCTTCATCTCAATGAGATGGTATGGCAGTGATCTCCTATTACGTGCGGTTTCTATCCAAGTTATCCACACCTGGTTGATTTTGATACATGTTCTTTTCTTTTTCTTTCTTTCTTTCTTACAAGTGATTTGAAGGCCACAAGTTTTTTAAACACTAAAAACACATTTTTGTTTTACTTTGCGGGAAGATATGTACGAAGTTTGAATCATTCTTCCTTCTTAATCTATTACACACGTACTGGTGGGTAAAGAGTGTCAGATATTGAAGGATGAGAGCTTTAGTTACCAACTTCAAATATCTCAGGCTTCTCCTCCTATACTGTCAATAGGTTTTGGGTTAGACGGTCACATTATACACATTGTAATATGGCATCATGTCATATATGCTCCCACGTCATCTAATAAAAAATATCCACGTGCTTATTTATAAACGCTCCTAGGAAATGTGGTTGAGTCCCCTTGGTTGGTGGTCGAATTAGTGAATTACGTGGTCGAGTCCACTGTAATGTGGTCATCATAAGTCATGACCATATTTCTAACTCGTAAGAGATTTGAGGGATCACATTTCATAACTAGCAAGAATTTCAACAAAGTCTTGAATATGTCATAGCACTATATATGATGGCCAAATCTGGATCCACAATGCCAATTACCAGAAATGGTAACATGAGGTGATGTAAGCATCTATTGTAATCTTCAAAGGAACATATCACATAATCAATAATTAGCTTGAAAATTTGGTTTGGAACGCACATATGTACTTAGTAGATGGGAGGGTTCAACCAAGGATTGAAATATCGGCCGATACACCGATATATCGACATTTTGAACTGTCGACACCGATATTGGGGGGTAAGATCATATCTTCCCCTATATCGACAAATGTTTGTGGTTTTCAATTTTTCCCAAATTTGAAGTTAGTTTCAATTCCTCAGTTTCTATCTACACAGACAACTCCCAAACTCATGTTCTGTATTTAAATCAAGGATTGAAATATCGGCCGTTACACCGATATATTTGCCGATATATCGATATTTTTAACTGTCGACACCGATACTGGGGGGTAATGCCTTATCTTCCCATGTTTCGACGATATATCCCCGATAAGTGCGATATTCCCGATATTTCCTGATACCCATAACATAACCCAAAAAAAATTCAGAAGTTTTGAAGGCAATTAAAGCAAATTGAAACCCAAAAATAGCTAATCCTTGTCTAGAACCCTATAATTTATTAATATGAAGAATCTATGCACAGAGAAAAGAAGCCAACCAATCAATTCATCTGAAGAGGACATGACGATCAGTTTTGGATCTATGAGCATAGGAACTAGACCTAGTACTAATTCAAATGAATCTTATGATGGTTGTGGTTATGTCATGTCTGATTATAGTGGAACTAGTTATGGAGCTCAAGATGATAAAACAGATTATGGACCTACTGTTGGGTTAATCCTAACTATCCCATATATGGGATGACAGTAGGGAGCTCAAGAGAGACATATGTGCACCATGTTCAAACATGGCTTACAAACTACTCGGGTTACATGACTTGGTATGATTATTGTACGAATCTAGATAGTTGTTCCACATTGTTTGAACCTCATAGGACCTCTTCATTTATGTAGTTGGACACTCATCTAAATTGTAATCCAATGTTCAAATAAACTATGGATTTATGCATGGTTTATTCATTCTAATCAACTTTTTATTTTCAAACTTTTCATTAACGCGTATTACATACCACTTATATTTCATCATATATATATATATATATATATATCTTATTATTAGTAAATTTTGAGTTTTATTTGTTCAATACATTCATTGACAATGTACATAACATCTATGAAAGTTTTACACCAAAATTATGTGTTTCAATGCCTATATCTGTCATTTTTGTTGATTTCTTCCCGATACCTAAAACGATAACGATATATCCCCCGAAATATCCGTAAATTGGAGGCCCGATATTATCTGCACGGCCGATATTTTAATCCTTGGGTTCAACTATGATTTAAAAGATGCTTTATCAATGAGGTAGTAACTTGGTGTGCAACAATGTACATACTTATAATCTTTAGTGTCGTTTTGAGATGCTCACTATCATCTCCAAGACTTCTATGGTCAAGGTTGTGCCCCAAAACACACAGTTCAGTTCTACAATCTTCTACTTTCATGAGGAATTTAACGAAAAGTATATTTTGGTATATCCAAATCGTGATACAATTTTCAAGTATGCACTTCCATATGACACAAGCGGAGGTAGTGTTAGTGCAGGATTGCACAAATTTCTTCACAACGAATTTCCTTTTGAACCATATATTGTCATCGTCGTCATCATCGTCATCACCATAAAATCAAGGGGTACCTAGGAACAAGTTTTTAAACCCAAGAGCAACAATTGAGGATCCTATTGAATACAGAGCTAGTATATCTTCAAATATATTGGTAGATTTCACGAAGGATGGAAATCGATGATGAGTAATTAATGGACTTGACTATAACAAAAATAATAGGTCCCTGTCGTGCCGCATCAGCAATCTACACAAAAATTTGATGAACTTGACGATATGGGGCAAACCGAGATAAAAAGTCGACTTAGGAGGCAAATTAGGTGAAAATGGCTTTTGAACGTAAAGCGAGATCCAAAACAACTTTGGGGTGGGGGCATGGGGGAGGGAATGAACAGCAGCTAGCCACAGAAAAAAGAATCTTAAGAAGTAATTGTTGAAGCAAATTTTTATATTTTTTTAGTACAAGTGATAGTATATAGTACCGGGGACGTTCTCACACACACACACACTACTGTTTGGGCCAAAAATTGACACATCCAGCCCAAGACCCATCATAACAAACAAAGCTGAGTTGGGCCTCACAGGCCCAACATAAATAGGAAGAGGGAGTCCAGACCAGAAGAGGGAACAATCCCACATGGCAGCCTCTGGGATAAAAGTCAGCAATGGCGGAAGTCAGCAGGGATGAAAAGTCAGCAAAGGCAGCCTCTGAAATGAAAAAAGTCAGCAATAACAACTGCCATAGAAGAAGTGACTGAAGGGTTCGTGACATCAAGAAGAACTGAAGATTAAGTCCCCCTTATATATGTATATACAGAGATTTTTCCTGTCTTTA